CTCTCTCTCTCTCTCTCTCTCTCTCTCTCTCTCTCTCTCTCTCTCTCTCTCTCTCTCTCTCTCTCTCTCTCTCTCTCTCTCTCTCATCGTTCCTTTCTGTATACAAGTTAGTTTCATTACATGCTGTACAACTCTTAGGGACAGAAGATATCTGGCCCTGTACCAGGTACAGTTGAGCTTTTTACTGGAGGCGTTTGCCTAAAGGTAACTAGAACACCAGAGGTAAACGTATTTGAGCTGAACCTACAGCGTAATTGAGAAAAGGAAGAGGCTATTGATGCCTAGACTTTTTGCCTTTTCCTCATATGTGGTGCGTAGCAGTGGTCTTACCATGATCATCCACCTAAGTGGAAAGCTTTGTGGATGAATGTTTCAATGTTTTGGCCCTTTGGGGCAAAAGTGTAAAGCAGGAATACCCAGCTCGCCCGCCCTTGAAGTCTATATTATAGGTTATCCCAACTTATCCGACAATGCGATACATCGGATACAATATTATGTGATGGGCATGGCTACGGCTTTGCAACAGTTCGTGTGCCACTTTTTCCAACGGGACACGCTGTGGAGTTTGCACTTGTCACTGTTTTCACCTGCACGCTTTCTTTTCATTAAATTCATAATAATCCATACCGTTCAGACTTTACCACTTTTCTTAACGACTTTTTTTTTTTTTTTTGTTTTGTTTTTTTTTGTTTTTTGTTTTTGAACAAATGCTCCAGTCTATTCGTGGGGACTGTTTATTAAAAACACAGGACTCTGCCAAGTGGCCGGAAGGTAGCGAATTGACAGGGCAGCTGGTGTTCTTGCAGTGAACTTGAAAATTGCACTCGATGTTTTTCGTGTTCCATGGTTATTATACATAATCATACTGATCAGTGGCAACAGAAAAAGGTTAGCTGGGTCCTGCATACGTCTTTTTTTGGCATGTATATGGCATCACTGAAGCGAAGAGCACTGCTGACTGTGTGGAATTAGGGGTGGGTATGAATGGTGGTGCAGAGACTGTGGAATTAGGGGTGGGTATGAATGGTGGTGCAGAGACTGTGTGGAATTA